ACCTAGTGCCTCCACTCAATTTCATTTCTCTCCAGAGACTAGGTCAGGAATCAGAATACACTAGACGGTTTGCAAGAAGTTGTAGACCATGCGCCAGCCAATCAGCAAAGAGCTGCGAAATCGGCAATTTCTTGGACACCACTGAGCGTTCTGGCACATTACATACGTCTCGACCAAATAGCAGTGATTGGTTAAATAAAAAGGTACCCGCTTACTGTTGAGCGAACAAATCCTAATGCTGTTTCCATGAAGTGAAATCGGCTGATGAATCAAGCTAACAAACCTTTGGCTTTCTCTCCATGTTTTTTCTTGCCTTGTTAGGGTCAAGAAATGCAAACCAGAGTTCACAGCAAAGGGAGGCTGTTTTTAAATGCATAGTTTTGGTGCCGTCAGTGAGAATCTGCAATGAATTTACAATGTAAATAGTCATGGAAATAAAGAAGAAAAGTAAATGAAAAAGTGTGTCCAAACTTTTGATTGGCAGTGAGGCTGTAGTTGTATGCAGGAGAAGTTTAAAGACCATCATTAGGATCACCAAAGACATTGTTATAGTGTTGTCCATTCCGGTCTAGTCCAGTTCAAGCTTCCATTGTAGGGAGTATTATACCTATGATAATGTTGGTCTAGACAGCAAGGACAGAGCTGACTACAATTCCCTTATCAGTATTGATTTAAAGTCTGTATCGAGTCCATTCTGTCGATACAAGTTTGGTATCGTGGTAACTTGTGAAGAGGGGTGGGTATAGTTATGTGGGGGGCTGAGGGTCATGTGTGAGCTCCAGTGTTCCAGGTTTTAGGTCATTTACTGACAAAACATAAACAAACAGCTCCAACACATTGAGCACAAAACTTTTAATACAAACCATGATCATAATCAAGACAGATTATAAATGGATTTGGTGAAAGATTACATTTCCCATGACTCCTGTAAACTGGAAACTCTAAATAATTGCTTTGGGGAAAGTGTGTGGAAGTACTCTGTATACTTTGAAAGGTCAGTGCATTTTCCAAATACTGTAAATAACCATAAACACCAAACGCTAGGCTACTTTTTCCTTTTAATCTTACTTCAATATGAAAAATTATACTCTGTTGAAGAAAAAAAACATGTACTGTAAGACAAAATGGTATTGGACACACTTGCACAATAGCATTCCACAAGTGTTTACAATATGATATGTGTTTACAGAATGTTTTAGGAATTCAGCATGTTCATTTTATTATAGGCAGCAGCAGACAATCCCCAAAGCCAAAAGTCTTGTGTCCTTCACTGGGGTATTTTGTATGCAAACCCCCTTAAAAGTCTTATATTACACAAAATTGTCTCTTATAATGTTGTTACCTTTTCAATAACACACCTGCACTGGAAAAAAAACAATATCTAGGTAAGTTAAAATGATTCAAATTAAGAATGTTTTACCTTATTTGAGTAGATTCAACTTTGCAACTAAAATTATCTACCAACTGAATAAGTGTTGTTTTTTTTTTTTTATATTCAAGCAACATTAGATTTTTTCCCCTCATTTTAAGTGCAAAAATTGTTGTTTTTCTTATTTTAAGTGTGGCAATTTGTATTTTAAGTACACAAATTTTATTCCACTCAAATCATGATAAAACCTTCTTAATTCAAGCCATTTTAACTTGACTAGATTTTGTTTTTTGCATTGTGGAGTTGTGTTTTTGTCATGTCATTTTGTTTGTTTTTGTCATGAGGAAACAACATTATAACATAAATCAGATAATGTAATACGGGCGCTCATATATATATATATTAAAAAGTGAATATTTCCACCTATAAGTGTACTTTCATAATTAATAATTTTGTAAGTAATTTTCTTGTTGGGTTCATCACATCTTTACCTGATATCTGATATATTCAATGTAGAAAAATGTTACTTACTTTGCTTATTTTTGTTTCCAATTGGATCTATAAAGTATTAAAACCGCTTCAGCTTGTTTCACCATTTGTTTATCACACATTTTTGTTGAGTTTTATTGAGGTTTTTGGAGTTTGAAGCCTAAATTACTTGATCAAATACCATACTATATTTCCTTCATTTGAGGAAAGTATAAATAACAAATAAGAAGAACCACACCAGAAGATGAATACATATTTTTGGTTTGTTATTGAGGTACTTCCCATTAACCATGATCTAACAAAAGCTCATCCCGTAAAATGGTATCACTGAATATTCATGCTTGTTCCATATCCTAGATTCAGACAGAGCCTCATTTAGATCTTGTGGTGATCGTGACTCAATTGTGCCATAGTTGCTCTGCTGTTGTAAAGGAAGCCTCTCTAAATCTGTGACAGAGCCCGGAGCACAGAGGGGGGCGCTGGGGTCTGCTCCTCTGATGCTGCTCTCATGAACATGTGTTTGTCCCACACAGACCACCCCGGAACAGACGAGGTCAAAGCAGGACAAACTTTATAGAGAATCTTCATCTTATGTCATCTTTGCTCTTCTTGTAAAATCGTCTCATGGTGCTCAGACAAAGAGACCTCCCAGTGATCAGAATTAACAAGACTGTGTGAGTGACAGATAGACATAGCAAGTGAGTGACCTATTGCTATGAAGTATGAAAGCAGATGACTTTACTTACCACTTTAAGGCAATATAAATAGTAGGTTTACATGAATCATCATCATAATAAAATCAAAATCATGTTATAGCTCAAGGAAAATCTTTATTTATTTTTTTTATATTTGTAACAATATATAAAATATCGTGATATTGTGTCATCAAAGTTCTCACAATAATATCGTGGACCATCACAATTAGGGCTTGGTATCATTCAGAAGTTGCCGATACGATACATACCTCGATACACAGACTACGATACAATACATATCTCGATACAGTGAGCTTACGATTCGATACGATTCAGTACGATATATTTCAAATCCATTCGATACAGTTCAATAAAAAATAATGGCTAAATCATGGCTGAGATACTAAAAATCTTTGTTAAACCACTTCTTGTGCGATTTTAATGTGACACGCATCCATTTTATCATTCAATCATCATTTCATCAAAACAGTGAAAATGTCAGGTATGTTGCATAAACGAGTTATTTTCTTCTGAACAAGCAACAAAACTGTGGCGCTGTAATATTGATACAGCAGCCCCTGAGATCAGTGCTGTATCATCACATAAAACAATATGATATATCAATATTTCAAATGTTTTTGCACACCCCTAATCACAATATATTGAATTACAAGTCTCTTTGCTTAAATTAAGAGTTAAGGTGCAACAATTGCTAAAAAAAAAGACAGAGGGAACTACATAGACCATGATCCTTTGTTCTATTTCAGTACAAACTACATGAAAAAATAACAGGAAGGAAAAAGTTGCATATTCACAGTTTTGTTTGCCTCCATGAAATATCGCAATAAATATCGTACCATGAGATGTATATTGTGAAAATATTTTACTGAGAGATTTGGATATTGTTACATCCCTAATCATGAGCCTCCCCACCATATCGTGAGCTTTTCCACGATATTGTATCGTGAGACTTGGATATTGTTATACCCCTAATTTTTTGTCAATGTATATTAATATGTGAAAGTATTTAGTACAAAACACAGACTATTTCATTGATGCCATGTGAATTATAAAAAGTAAGATTTACGTAGGACATATCTTTGTTTTCTTCTTCGTAGGTGTTTTTTGTAAAGAAATTATGAATGAAAGAATAGTGCACAAAATGGTAGTGATCCTCGGTGTCTGAAAAGTTCATTTAAATCAATATGTATACATTAATTATATGGTTTTGCTGTATTGCCTGCTCCTTCAGTCAGCTATTTCCCCTTGTATCTCATCCACACAGCTGCTTGTCCAGTGGTGTCATGGGAACCAACTAATATTTGACCTCATTTGATTTATATTGGACAAACTTCTGCATCACCAAAGTGTCAAATCCATTTAGCACTATTCAGAAAATGCCTCTGGACACTGCAGGTTGTATCTAAGTGTAAGTATGTCCCACAGACTGAACCTGATCACCTCTGGATCAGGTTTCATTGTAACTCAATCACAAGTCCACAGTTTCACTATAGCTACTGTAAGTGGAGTGGGGCTTTATTACTGTCAGCTCTATTGAATTGTCTGTGGCTAAACAGCTTTTTGCAGAAGTTATGACCTTAAATATTGTTTGTGCATTTGGCAGATGAGTGTTCGAGGGGTGATATTAATTCTCATATACTGAGAACACATCATTAGAAGGCTATTTTGGCTTTTTAATTTTAGGATCTGGCAACCCAAATTGAGGAGCTGCTTTCTGGTTTGATATTTTGAAGCAACACAAATGTAAACATAAACACGTTATGTTGAAGGTTTTGTAATTGTGAATAAATCGACATGACAATTGTTATTGCTAAAATATGTTTACTTCATATCATACTTCACTACCGGTCAAGAGTTTTAGAACACCACTCTTTTTCCCATTTTTTACTGTTTATTGTTGACCAAAACGTATTCTAAACTTTTGATTGATGAAAGTGTCCACCTTTCGCAGATATAACAGCTGAACACACTCATCGCTCGTTCTTTTTACAATATAAATTAAATATTCTTCAGAAAGTTCTTCCTAAGTTTGTTGCAGAAGTTCCCATAAATGTGTCGCACTTGTAGGTTTCTTGGCTTTCACTCTTCTGTCTCGTTCATCCCAAACCAGCTCTATGGAGTTTAAGTCTGGAGACTGTGCTGGACACTCCATGTGTTCAAGTTTACCATCTTGTTCTTTTTTCCTGATGTAGTTTTGGCAGAGCTTGGACTTGTGTTTTGTTGTCTCTTATCTTTTTTTAACCTCTGGCTGTTCAGTACTTACCTTTGTACCATTTCAAGCTATTCATTGGACTTGAATTGCAATAAATAACTGGAAAAATGAGGGTGTTCTAAAACTTTTGACCGGTAGTGTACATACTACATACTATATATGAAAGGCCTGCAGAAAGGTCCCTCTTTTAATCCTTTATTTGGTCTTTTCACAGAGCTCTCCAGTAGAGGGCAGCGCCAGACCAAAGAGAGCTCCAAGTAAGTCCAGGAAACCTATATATTTTCCATTTTTCTTTGTAAACATTTCATTTGCATAGTCTCATTCTTTTTAATTCCATTTATTCTTTCACAACATCCATCATTGTTCCTTCAGGCCTCCAGCTCCTAACTCTGTCCATCCTCATCACTCACAAAGAGAACCATCTTCGCCTCTGCCTCCTGTCTTTGCTTCAGTGACTCTGTGTGTAAAACTTAACTTTAATCTTGCTGTTTTGCCTTCATATATTTACAAAGTCCGATTATATTTATTCTAACCATCAAATGAAGATACTTGAGTACTCTGGTTTCTTCAGGAATTGAAAGACAACTAACAATCATTTCAATATTTCAGCATTTCTGAACTGTACTGCAATTTTGAAACTAGGTAGTCAAACTTCAGTAGACTGTAAATTTGTGATTTCTCATAAATGTCACAATTCTTTGTTGGTATTCAGTCGATATTTGCTACAATTGCCAACATTAGTGGATGGCATTTATGATTTGTGGTGCCCTTTTATACAATGACTAAACCATTTCTCACCCTCCTCCTCTTCTCTCCTCTCTCTTCCCCTCTTTCCATCTCTTTCTCCCTCTTTTCTCCTCTCTCCTCAAGCCCCTGGTCCGAGGTCAGTGTGTGAGGTGAAGATCACTCCTCTGTCCAGGATGAAGGGCTCTCCTGACCTGCTCCCTCCCTCAGGTGACTTAAGTCTAAGCCTCATCAATGTTTGACGAGGGGAGCCACGGGACATCCCAAACTCCACCTCCACACGTCCCATATACACACACACACAAAAGGGTGCAGCTAGACTTCATGTATTAGCAATAGGCTGTCAATTATAGTGAATACCATGTAAGGATGATCCGGGTCTTACAAGGAACATCATGTTTTACACACCCATTAGTTTAAGTATATTAAATCAAAAATGCTGTAATCTGTCATCTGCAAAGACTTAAATGTGTGTAAAAGCATTTGATTCATGAATCACTCCAACAGCAATATTTATTTAGTCACAATTTCTCTAAATGTGGCCAAAGTGAATAAACCATCAATAATAGCTATTCAAATGTATGAAGTTTTTGGCACTAGCACAAAAAAGCCACAAATTTATGTGAAAAAATAAAATCTTACTTCCTTTCACATTGTTTCGTTTGATTGTTTCAGAGCTGGACCCGAGCCGAGTGTGTAAGGGGAAGGGTGTGGTGACTCTGAGGGCCACACTGGTGCACATTGATGATGAGGCCAGTGACCAGGCCAACAAACTCACAGACACAGGTGAGGGAGAAACTACAGGTACATATGTAAATACTAGGGATGTAACCGAAATATCGTGATATCGTATTGTCAGAGTTCTTACACAATAATATTGTGGACCATCACAATATATTGAATTACAAGTCTCTTTACTTTAAATTAAGAGTTATGGTGCAGCAATAACTAAAACAAGACTGAGAGAACTACATAGACCATGATCCTATGCACCATTTCAGTGTAGACTGCATGAAGAAATAACAATTCTAAGCACTTTTAAGACTTTTTTTTTTTTTTTATCAAGTCTTGTCAAGACATTTTAAAAGGAAAAAGTAGCATATTAACAGTTTTGTTAGCTCCACAAAATATCACAATAAATATCGTGCCAAGAGATTTGGATATTGTTACATCCTTAATCGTGAGCTTCTCCACCATATTGTGAATTTTTCCACAATATTGCAATAAATATCGTACTGTGAGGTTCATACCGTGATGATATTGTATCATGACACTTAGATATCGTTACACACCTAGTAAATACAGCCTAGTAAAATTATGTTTCCAGCATAATGGCATTTATTTATTATTTATTTATTGAAAAACACGCTTTATTGCTGCGAGTGGGCTCACCTCTCCACAGATCTGGCCTGTAACTGGGGCTAGTGGAGTCACCTGCTTGTCTGTATGACAATGGATATGTTTTGATATGTTTTGATATGTTATGTTTTTATACCATACTGTGGAACATCCAGGCAAAGCAACAACATTAACATGGAGACAAGCAGGACGCATACACATATTCCCATCCAAAAAGTTGCATATTGCTCTTTTAATTTGACAGTTTATTGTTTCATTGCAGACATCATCATCAGGCATCTATAGGCCAATATTATTGAATACAAAAATGGAAATTAATAATGAATAATGTTAAGCTGCAGATTTTTTATTGTAAAACAGTGAGCTCTCAGGTTTAGTCAGTAATAAAAATGATCAGGTCTAACATTTTTGCACTTATATTTTGGTGATTTTATGGCAAAGTGCAATGTTGTCAACCTGGCTGTTGTCTGGGAGTAAGACATCATCACAATCTACAATCTGAAAACCATCAATACTGCAAAAAACACCATGCAGAAAACCGTATATATTTACATAATTCCTCTCAAGAAGCCATAACTCTGCAAACACTCTGAACTGTCAGTCATATGTATACAGCTGAGTGGGAAACAGACACTGAGCTGTCGAATCTGCTCTGGGGGTATAAATATTTATCAGTTGTATCGCGGCCTTTGCTTGGACTTTACTCAGACACATTCCTCTGCTGCTCGTCTGACTTATGTCCCATCACACTCTTATATAACGTGTTTTCAATCATATGGCGACAAAATGTGATTGCTCATATTTTCAAGCCCGTGTCAAAGCCATCTTTTGTTGGTACGTCCCACACTGGATTTCCGAGCAGGGAGGGAGGCCTCATAGCTTCACTGTGGTGCTACTTGTTGCCTCCAGCGCATTGCCAATGGGTTTTAATTGTGCGACAGAAATGCCATCGGAACAAACCGCTCTTAGAACTGACTCAATAGTCTCTTTGTTTTCCCCACAAAGTTCAAATATTGTGAGGGGGAATCGGTGCCTATTTCCTCGTAGATAACAAGCATGAAAACCACCAAGCAAAGCATCAGCTGCGTGACTATTAGCTGGTTTGTTGTCATTCGTTTATCTCTCTATTAGTGCAGGCTGCAGTGTCGCTATCTTTATTTTGGATGCCAAAGTGAGCACTTGTTTTGGACTCTTGCAGGGGCCTGGACAGGGCAGATTAATGGAGATGAGGCTAAAACGGGATTGGCTGAAGGAGGCGTCAACAACAGCTCAGCAGATTTACAGACAGTCACCAGCCTACAGCAGTGCCAGGTACGTGGGCTTACACTTGTGTCTGCAACGAGGATATCAGGTTATTTTGTATGTAATTACTATTATAGCTAAGACAAATAAGTAGGTTTAGTGCAGATTATTATTAATTAATTATTATAAGCTACTTTGTTAATAATACAGTACTGGTCTATAAACTCCTATTATTTATTCCATGTGGTTAAATGCATGAATATCAGTTTAGAGTTGCAAATCTAGCCTGTTTTCTATCAACAAGCAAATGTTTATATGATGAATACATTATTTGTTTATAATTTTATGCACATATCTATATTTTTGAATAATTAATAAAATAATAACTAAAATTCAAGTACTGCTCTACTTTGTTCACTTATGCGTTCTATGTTAGAGTATTATTGCCTCAAATCCCTTTTCACGAGTGCATTTTAATTGATACTTCGCGGACTGCATCATCTGGGTGTGTTCTACATGTATCTTATTCAGCAGGTTACCATGGTGACGCAATGCACATATTTGCAAAGACAGACAAAAAAAGTTTTAGGGTTGTCGGAAAACTCAAGAAAAAATGCAATATGGATTTAACCAACAAACTGTCAGGAGGCTGTGATCAATAAGAGCGTTCATGATCCTGTTTAGGTTTTAATATTCAAAAGAAAAGATAAGAGTAAATGACTGAAAAACTACTGGCTAATGCTTTCTAGATTGTGACTAATTTTATGTGTGAGAAACTTGTTTAAGCGCCCAAATCATCTCTGTATGTGAAAGTATTTAGAACAAAACCCAATAGTCTGCAATAGGATGACCACATGAACCTTGGTTGTCCTGCAAACTATTTCATTGATGCCATATGAATTATAAAAAGTAAGATTTACATAGGAAATATCTTCGTTTTGTTTTGCTTTTGTTTGTTTGTTGTTTTGTTGCTAAGAAATTATTAAATTAAAGAATAATGCACAAAATTGTAGTGCTCTTGGGTGTCTGAAAAGTTCATTTAAATCTGTATATATACATCTTATACATCTCTTACTGGTCAGATTGTGATAAAATAAAACTTGAGTAACAGATTCTAGTAGTAGTTGAGCATACCCATAGAGGATTCCTTTTAATGAAATACAAAAACACATGTGATTATAGTACAATATGGTTCAATAGTTTGAAAGCTATTTGCATCTCATTTTTGAGAAGTAAAGAGTAATTTTATAATTTAATACACTTTACATAACCTCGCACATAAGCAGGAATGTCTACAATTGTTGAAGTGCTTTGTTATAAATGTCCCTTTTCCCTTTTCGTTTCCACCCAAAGGTCAGTTCTCCAGACAGTGTGAAGGAAAACCAGGCCCCTCTCTCAGACTATCACAGCTCAGGTCACTCTGGTCATTCGGGGTATTCTGGGTACCCCTGCACCAGTGCCGTCAACCCCACCATCGTCCTGCTGCAGCACAACAGAGGTACTTCCCATCTCTGATACTCACCTCCTCTGATACTGGCACCTCGGGTACTGAGAGTAAAGAGCTGTAGAGATGTCTAGGGCTGTCCAAAATATTGAAATTAGATCCTCAATACTTGTTGTACTGAAACTAGGAACTAATTTGCACAAGACCACATGGTATCATAAAGAAAGTACTATTATATTGTGTAAAATATCAAGCCTGTCAAAATTGAGTTTGAAATTTTAGCTTTGTGACAACACTAGAAATATCATTACTTTAACTTTTTAAACTGCTTTGAGTAAAATATATTTGTAAATCAGTTTTTGTGTTCCCTATTAATTTAAAAGAATGAAAATGCAGATTTCACATTAATAATAATAAAGTGAACTGAATGTGTTATGAAGATAAGGACATCTATTTTGTTCCGATGTTGGGAGGGTGGTCCAGATGCCCAGAAATCTTTCCTGAATCACTGAAGAGTTTCTTAAAATTGTTGGGTCAGAGTCAGGAAATCTCCTGTACTAACTTGGCATACACAGATTTCTTCCAGGTGCCAGTATCAGTGAGGTTGTTCATGTGTACTGGGCTGTGGTTTTTAGCACACTCAAATCAGATTATTAAATTTTTTTAGCTTAGTTTATTAAAATAATCGAGAAAATGATCTGATTTCTTTCTGATCATGGTCCTTCTGATTATTCACATCAAATTGCATGTCCTTTGTCATTTTAAAGAGCTAGAAATCAGATATTAATTTGATTTTAGTGAGTTTTTAACTGAAGCCCTTTACTGTGTTCGATCCTGTGTGTGTGCTGTGAATCTTTTCTATGTGATTTGAACCCTTCACTCACTGTTTTGCTCGTCCCTGTCACACTACTGTCTCCTGTCTCTCACCACAGAACAGCAAAGGCACCTCTATCACTCAGAAGGTACGCAGAAGCCATTTTTCAGATATTTAGTTGTAAATTTTAAGCTTAAATATCGGCTATAAATGTGTATGATGTAACTGATAGACTCAAATATGCAGAACTAAATGAACCAATAGCTCCAATTATGACTGTAAATGACAAACTCTGACAAAACTTGCATTAGATTAATTTAGTAATGAATGCTTGTAAGAATAAATCTGCATGTATTTTAAAATAACTATGTGTAAATAGGTGTGAAATGTAAAGTGCTTGTAATAATTTCATGTGGCAAAAAAAAAAAATCATGAATATTTTTTGTCCAGTGTCAAAAATGATTTTTGTGAGCTTATGCCTTTCTATAATGTTTTTACCTCCTCAAAAACATACATCTCAAACGTGTGAATGAAACAAAACACAAGTCGAAGTAAGTCAGATGAAGAGCAGAGGTAGAGGGCTTCACTGGGTCATAAAAAAGTCAAAAATAGCAGTGCAGGTTCTCTATGAGGGTTAAACTGGAAATATTAACAAAATCTAGCCGTTACTAAAAAATATAAAAGTGGGCAAGGTACAAATTCAAGGCACACCGACTGAATATATTAAAAGTGCTTTATTGCATGGAGGGACACCAAAGCGTTTTGAAAAGCAAGATATCTTCATCGGGGCATAAGCGTGGAAATGGACACACAGATGTTGTTAAATACAATTACAAAATAATCACATGACAAGATCACATGAGTATAGGAAGAAGAAACAAAAAAGGTTGGCCAACCAGGAGGAAAGTATAGGTGATGGGAAGACCCACAAAACAGCAGCAAGACACATATGGATGTTGTAGATAGATAGGTGTGTCCATCACATATGCATAGCTATCAAATATATAAAAATATATAAATGGAATAGGATACACCGGACCACAGATTAAAACTCAACTCAACAAAACATTTAAAAGTTTTATAAGGTTCAGAAGAACATGGAATAATCCAAATCGTCATTTAGGCCCGGATGTTGTTTGACCTTTAATGTTGTAATCCGAAGTTTCTTCTTCTTCTTGTGTGGGACCATTGGCAGAGTCTATTGCCCTCTCTGATGTTTAAAGGGACTACCTTGCTCACTTTTATACTTTTTAGTAAGGGCTGCATTTTGTTAATACAACTCCAAGTATGTTTTTGATGAGGAAACAACTTCATAATAGAGATCAGAAAATAGTGTAATATTGGGTCCTTTTAATCTAAGTTTTGAGTATAATATTTTTTCACTGGTGGTTGGATAATTGCATGAGATGGCTTCCATAATTGAGGAAAATCTGATAAAAGGCATGCATGTTATTTCTGAATTTATCACATGTGGGTTTTTTTATGTCAAAGTCTTGCTTAAATTCATGTATGATGTCACATAAATTCTTAATTTCACAGCAAAATATTATATAATCACAAAGGGAAGTAGAATATTAATAAATGTTTTGTATTCTGTGACAGAGCCGACCCCAGAGAGAGACAAGAGTCCAGACAGTGGCAGAGTTTCAGTCAGTCCTGTCCAGGAGATGGATGGGAAGAGGCTGCGACTGTCCCTGCACTCCCCCGTCCTGACCCCCGTCAACAGACCCATTGTCCCTGTACGGGTAAGACACACCTCCAGCTCAACGCCCCACGGTTTTACAATGAAGACTGTTTTACTTCTGTTTGATTATTCTTAGTTCATGCTGAGTCACTTATATGTTTGTTTCTTCTCACTGCAGAACACTGACAAATCCAAAGACTGGTATAAGAGCATGTTCAAGCAAATACACAAGATCCCAGGTAAGTTATAACATTTACTTTTTATTTTATAAGATAGTGGTTCTCAAACTTGTGGTGTAAAATTGTAATTGGTCGGCTATAATGATTTTTGAGGCCTAAATTAATCCTGGTATACTTTTCGGTTTTGGTTTAGTCCTTGATTTCTCTTTGTAATTCACTTAAATAGAGATGAGTTCTGGTTTAGACTCTCATTTTAATCCAAAATTCTGCCTGGTTCTTCCTAAATTTCAACCCTGTTCAGTGCCTGGTCCAGTTTAATCTAGTTTTGATGTAGTCCTGATTTAGTCCAGGTTCAACCCTCATGTAGTTGAACCTGGACTAAATCAGGTTTAGTCCAGGACTAAAATTTGCCTGGTTTGGTCCTTAATCAGGGTTTAGTCCCAATTTTACTTTTAGTTTAGTTTGGACCTGGATTAGTCAAGATATAATTCTAGTTTAGTTCTGGTTTAAGTCCTGCTATATAGTCCTAGTGTAGACCTGTTTTATTAGACCTGGTTCAGATTATGTTTAAGTGTTCTGTTCAAGTCCTGGTTTAGTCTTGGTCTAGTCCAGATTTAGGGCATGTGTAGGGCATGTTTTAGGGCATGAGACTAGACTCAGAATTTAACTAGACCTAGAACTAGACCAGGATTATACCAAGACTAGAGCATGATCAAATTAAATCAGTATCCTGAAGACCAGATAATGTTAAGTGCACCCTTAGGACCAGGTTTAGTCCTTGTTTAGTCCCAAATTGATGTTGTAGTCCTGGTTTAGTCCAGGTTCAACCCTCATATAGTCCTGTTTTTGCCTGGTTTTGTCCTTAGTCAGACTTTAGTCACAATTTTACTCTTACTTTAGTTGGGACCTGGATTAGTCAAGACATAATTCTAGTTAAGTTCTGGTTTAAGTCCTGATGTAAACCTGTATTATTAGACATGGTTCAGATTAAGTTTAAGTGCCCTGTTCCAGTCCGGGTTTAGTCCTGGTCTAGCCCAGATTTAGGGCATGTTTACACTTGCACATAAAAACTGTGACTGAAGTGGGACTAGACTCAGAACTTAACCTGAACTAGACCAGGACTATACCAAGACTAGAGCATGATCGAATCAAGTCAGCATCCTGAAGACCATATAATGTTAAGTGCACCTTTAGGACCAGGTTTAGTCCCAAATGCATGTAGTCATTGTGCAAGTGTGAACCCCCTCAATCCTGGTTTAGTCGTAGTTTGTAACTCCAATTTTAGTCATCAAATAGTCCCAAAAACGAATTCTCTACTTTGGTATGAAATGTTTGCAGACCATTATTCCCCAACATTGATGTATGTCCACCTCATGCTTGTGTCTTGTGTGTTGTTGTTGATCATTGTGTGCTCTGTCTCCCATCACTGCTGACCTCAGAGCGCACTGAGGAAAACCCTTACCGCCCCACCTACATTTTCCCCGAGAACTATGACATTCAGGTCAAATGCAAAGGTATCCCGCGGCAACATAAAGGTATCCCGCGGCAAAGCAAGTAACGCTGATGCTGGCTTCACTAACCGCAGCCGCCCGGGCGCTTTCAAATACTCCAGTGTCATCGTCATCCACTAAATTTACTCACGAGCACTGGAAGTATTTGAAAGGATTTGACTAAAAACTGTTAGTGTGCTGTTTAACTCTGAGCTGTTTCGACGCTGCAAGATCTGTGTACAATATTTGAAGTTTGATCAAGGTTTATCAAGTAAAACAGGAAAAAAATAGAGTCCTTGTATGTAACATTATCTGACTTCTCTCTAGTTTCATTTAAAAGTCCTATAGTACACAAAAGTGATTCTTGTGAGCTTTAAGCCAGTTTTTCCCAAACATTTTTTCTGGAGACCCATATTTTAAAAGTCACAAAATAAAGGTGGATTTGACCATTATTGAACATTAATGAGGATATTTTATTGTCGACTGAGTATCACTCAGTAATTGAACCAGCAATAAAAGGTATCCATAAGTTTCCTGAAGTCCACTGACCTTTGCTAATTTATCACCTTTTTTTTGGACAATCAAGCAAGCATTTCTCAACTTTAGCTGCAGGAACACTCATTCAGGGCAGGCAGATAGAATTTGCTTACTCACTAGCTCTCTCATGTGTCAGAACTGTATATTGCAAATCTACATACAGATTGTGACAAGGCGACCCAAAAAAAATCTCTTGTGACCCACCTGACAATCACGACTCAGTCTTTGGGAAACAGTGCTTTAAACCATGTTATAATGCTGTTACCTCCTCAAAAATATACCCGGAGTTGTGTTTTGTTTGAGGAATCCTTTATTGTTAGTCTGCCTACAGCTTCAAAGCTCAAAATTCTCTGTTCCACCTTGTGCTGTCATGTAGAAGTAGTTTTCAAGTTTCACCTTTTAAACTTTTGTTCAGTAGATATGCGGAGAGGAAGGGAGGATAAGGGGGGAGAGTCCAGTAGTTTGTAAAAGAAGATGGGAGAGAGGGAGTTAGAAGATAGGATCAGAGGGAAGGAGAGAGAGAGAGAGAGAGGTCTGTGAATGAAGAGGGGAGAGAAAGAATGATACACAAATACAGAAAAGAGGGAGGAGAGGAAGAGAGAAGCAGACCATCGGACATAAAATGGAGAAGAAACAGGTCAAATGATAATGATGAGCAGCTTTTCAATATATTATAGTGTGTGTATTTGGACTGAACTGATTACAGAAGATTGGCCTTTCATTCCTGATACAGACGTTGTTGTTGTGTCCTTAGGCAACACATTTTATCCACTGTATATGTATCAATGTGCTAGTGTGCATTAAAGTGTATTATCATAGCAAAGAGTAAAAAAATATAAACGGTAATAATAAATTCCAGGGTCGAAACCAATCGAATGATTCTAGTGAAGGTGTATGAAGTTTAAAAACACAGTGGAGCACTTCCTGTGTTACTATATGATATCACAAGGTGGAGCGTTTTCAACTTGAGTGAAGAACTCAGCCTAAATATGCAGGATTTGTGTGTTAAACGTGTGAAAGAAACAAAACGAAACTCCAGGTCGCCTATGTTTTTAATTAGGAAACAACTTTATAACATAGATCAGAAAATTGCGTAATATAGGACTTTTAAATATGGGTGACAAGTGTATTTACAATATATTGGGACTTGAATCAAAGCTTGTAAAGTAAACTTAAAATATTGTAGATATGGTAGTAAGTGTAGTAAGTCATGCCATTAAAATATTTGAGATAAGTTTTATAGATAAGATAAGCTTACAGACTTCAGTTGCATGGATCTTGCAGTTATGACGCTTACTCATATAATAACTTATTTCATACTTACCTATTTCCTTTTAGTGCTAAAACCGGACAAAATAGTCATGAAAACGCTAAGATTTCTAAATATTTAAAGCTGCACTATGTAATATTTCTGGTGGAGAGTTTGCCACTTGTCTGTTTTCATGCTGATTTAATGTATGTTTTTTTTTTGTTTAAATGCAGTGAAGTTTAAATGCATTGTAATTTGTAACCAAAAAAAAAAAAAAAAAAGAATGCAAATGTTTTTATTGAAAAACATTTGCAATTGAAAGGCTAAATGCAAGAATACTCCACCAGAAAAGTTACAAAGAGCACAGAGAAGCAGAGGTCTAAACACAGGTGCACCAAAGTTTCTTTACAAGTGCATTTTGATTGCTAAAGTTTTGTAATTGAATAAATCAAGATACTCTGGTACATAACACAGAGAGGCAGAATTATTAAAAGCTGTAGTATCGCCTTTCTGCCACTGGGTGTCACTATAGTGTAGCGTATTAGAAGTAATGGTTCTGTTACGTTAAGAGAACAACAAATGTAGTTTCTTTTCCTGTTTTGATTTTTTATTTATAACACACTGTAGCAATATTACATTAATCAACTTTATTTCGAGATATCCAACACTATTAGAGTGAATTTACAGTTTCCTTCTCATTTTTGTAGCCATTTTTGTTTCTGAAGAAGACCAGGACAAACAGCATCCCTAGATTTTATTTACAGATCACTTTATAGACGGACAGATTCTCTCAGTTTTAAGATCAGAGCTTTTATATCTGCCTCGATGGTACATTTTATTGAGGCTGTGGCGCTTTTACAGTGCATTTCTGACGTGGGCCTTGATGTGTATCGATGCTTAGACCCTGTTTTAGCTCAGTAATGCTTCCAGGAAAAGCTTCTATTGACACATTTGTACTGAAGAAGCTGCTGTCCCGACTAATGGGCCAAACACTGTCAATAAGTGCTGTGATCGTCCTTAAATATTTAGTAGACGTTATAAATAAGGCAAGGATATAAAGTAATTACAATAAGTCATGCTAATAGTGTTGTCTCTTTCAGATGATGCCTCCACTCCATTTTCATATCTGGAGGAAGGTGAGTTTTGTAATGTTTAGCTTTACGATCCTGTCCATTTTTTTTTTTTTTCTGAATATACAAAGCATGATGCAACACAATACACTACAACTTCACAAACCTGATGCGACGTGCAGTAGTTTAATTAACGGGAAGCTTGTGATAGCTCTCTGAAGTACTGTCACCACGGAAAACAGAGAGAGAAGACTGAGCATCAAAAACTAAACAAAACTACATATTACATATTTTCAATACATTGTTTTGGGCAAATATAGCATTTTAAAAATTTTCATTAAGCTAGCATAATGATCTAAATATGTTATGTTTTAGCAATGAATACCCCAAGGAATTGTAATATCTGCTCTTTAAACTTAAGAGTGCCCTTATTGATTTATTTATTTGTTTGTTTGTTATCTTGCAAAAAAAAAAAAGTGACCTTCAACCATTTTCTCATACAGTGGTACAGAAGTATTTATTTAAATTAAAGGCAATTAAAGCTTTTCAATATCACAGTGTCCACCTTTGAGTTAAGCGTTATCTAGAACTACTTTCCCTAACTATTTCCCATGGTTTAATCTAATGTTAGTTAGTCAGCCCTAATTTATACCTGATATAGGTCAGGTTTAGATCTGGTGGTATTCTGTAAGCCAGATGTTAACTTGAGCACCACCAATGAGCACCACGTGACTACGGTAGTTAATTAATATGAAAACAAGACAAATAATATCATAATGTGTAACGTATTAAAACATTAGCTCATTGAATATATGAATGTATTTCGTTTAGATTTAGTCCTGCTTTGCTTCTGGTTTGGCCTTGCTTTACAGGGGGGACATTTCAACCTGGTTTGGTCTTTGCTTATTTTCTAATCATAAATTCATGATATACAACTAAAGGGATTTAACGGTCAAACCAGCTTAATGAGACAAATCCCTTCATCAGTGTTTTTAATGCTCTTGTTTGTGTTTGTGCTCTTGTGTTTAAAGCCAGGACCGTCCCGCGTTCTAAGAGTGACCAGCAGGTGGAGTCACGCAGTCGGACGCTGCCGGTGCCAACGCGCTCCTCTTCTCTGAACCCCACCAAACGGTCAGTGTTCTTTCTCATATTAACAAAAAAACTGCTTTTGATCCTCAAATGTTGAATCGTATCATTATTTGTTTGGGTTATGTTGCAGAAATTTTGCATATTAGTCGACTGCATTAAGTCCTTTCTTTCAAATGACAACGATAGCACCTTAACAGTTGAAAAAGGGCATCTCTTTTTAAAGCTATTGAATTAATTTGTGCTGACAGAGAAAACAATGAATTAAAAAATTCTACCAGAAAAATATAACCTTACCTCCACTGGAATTTTAATGTTATAAGGTAAAATACACTTTATTGTCCCTGTAGAGAAATTTTATGTTGTTGTGTTGTCATGGGATGATATGTTGTTATAGTCCATGTTGAGAAATGTAGTCTTATCTCCAAAGTAGGGGTGGAACATATATTGAAGAATGTATAATTTCACAATTGTTGTTTTGTACATTTTAGAGTACGTTTTCATTAAGTCACACAGGCTATGATGATTGGCAGCAGCCGTTATCTATAAGAGTCAAATTTAACTTTGTTTGGAGTTTCATCTGGTGCTTTCATCTCATGTTGCATTGAGGGACTTGTAAATGTTAACTTGTAAACATAAACAAACTATTCATACTATTCTCATAAATACTCTGTGTATCCTGTTTCAAAACGATACGGCTCCTTCCCATTCCTCAGTAGCACAACATAGTCCTTTGGGATTTGTGTGTAAACCTTGACCTGGGCAGCACTGATGGTCTAGGAAGATCTAATGACAAGATCAGTCATTAATCAGCTAATATTTCAGATTATCTAGGTCACAATAAAATCTTGAATCTGTTTTGAGAAGCAGAGGGAAGCACTTTGTGGATAGGAGAGATGTCAGTGCTGGACAAAAGTTTGATCTCTTCGCTTGTTTCGGTGTTGTGATGTTCGACCTTTTCCCGCCCTCTTTCAGTGAGAGCCGTCCTAGACTGATGTGTAGAACTCAATACAGACTGGGACGTGTGGTGTGTATGAATGTGGTGTCTGTGAGAGGAGTTTAGTGATGGTCAGAGGGGCCGATGGCACAGATTGGCAGCCTCGCGTCTACCGCAGCTAAAATGAATGCTTTATATAAATATCAATCTGACAAGGGGTTTTATCTGGTTGCTTATGTCACTATAACTTTACTTTTCCTTTGAGAAAGCTTGATTTAATAAAGGTAGTGGCATACAAGAAGAATGGTAACATGTTAATAGTTTCTTTTTTCAGACCAAGAGTTTGTTTTCCTGATAGTTTGGAGTGCTCACTAGTGGTCTTCCTCAGAGTGGTCACGTGATGTTGCTGTGATGTGTCCAGTCAGCTGATGTTTTGGTGCTGTCTTCCTACTAGAGGAGGCAGGATGACAGAATATAGGACAGAACGTGAGAAGGAAACAGCAAAGGCGTGGGCACAAGCAACAAAACACAAAGCAGAACAGGAACGACTCAAATCTGCCATTTCTTATACTGTAAAAGAGAGAACCACATTATGGACTGGGACGGAGCAAACATCATTGGGACAGAGGAAAACAAACATTGTCACTGGACTAAAGAGGCAATTGAAATGCGGAAATGTGCCCATGGGACAATAAACCGGGACGACAGGGGCTTTTTTACTCTCACACACCTGGGATACTGTCCTGAGGAAGTCGGACTGCAGACGGTGCTGTCATCCTGCCTCCTCTAGTAGGAAGACAGCGCCAAAACCACATCAGTCCTGTCCTTTAGCAACTCCACTGGTGCCCTACACAATACCGCATTCAATAAAAGGTGCTCCTCATCACCTACAAGTCCCTCCCCATCTCACTGACTTCCTCCATCTGCACTGTCCCACCCGCCGCCTTAGATCAGCTGACACCATCCTCCTCACTCCCCTCATCAGGAAAAAGCACTGGGCCATGGGGGATCGAGCCTTCACTGCTGCCACCTTCTCCCTCTGGAACTCACTCCCACAATCCATCAGGAACTTGGACTCATTGCAGCACTTCAAATCACTTGTTCAAACTGGCATTCCCTACATGATTCCCCCAATTTCTACAATGTTACTTCTTATTTGTTTGTAAAGCGTCTTTGAGTGTCCAAAAAAGTACTATTTAAGTCCAATGTATTATTATTATTTTTATTAAAACCTGTATAAATCAGCTGACCAGACACATCACAGCAACATCACGTGACCACTCTCAGGAAGACCGCAGGGAGCTGTCGAAACTGTCAGGTATGAAAACAAAATCTAGGTCTGAAAAAATAAACTAATAACATAAATGATCGGAAGACCAAATGAACCTCACTGGACGAATGGTAACATGGTTTAGTCCTGGTTTTGTCCTGGTTTTGTCCTGGTTTTGCCCTCCTCTTGCTCCTCCTGCCTCTGTCCACATTGCGAGCTGTGACAGGGGCAGGTCCCTTTGCACTGGGGGCGGCCTGATGGAGCGGAGCAGGTGATGGAGGATAAACTGCTGCTCATCACAGGCCTGTACACTGCACACTGAGCTCTGACCTCTGACCTCTGCACATGTCTGAAAAGATGAACCGCCACACTGCAAGGGCTGATGGGTAATTTTACAGTCACAAGGACATAGACAGGCAGCCTGCAGAAAAGAACAGTATACAACAGAACTGTATAGACAAATAGGCGTCGCTTTACTTTAGACCCAGTTTTAGTCCTGGTTTATGATGGTACCACATCAATGCAGCCTCAGATCACCCAATAAATATAATTATCTTTGTAATTTTAAGTTTATGTTTGGGTTAGTCCTGATATGGGTCTTAAAGGGGCTCTGTTTTTGAGATGCAGTGGCTTTCCTGGAATCTTCCATAGTAAGGTATTAAACTTGGCTTTCATATTTACAGATGTTTTTGTAGGTTATGAAAAAATATCTTGGAAAAATCTGATGTGTGTGATGTGTATTTTTGTCTCCATCGAGTTGTAGGGAGTATTATCTGTTACATAAGAGTGAGTTGTATAGTTGTAGGGACTATTATTTGTTACATAAGGTCAAGTTGTTGTACAGTTGTAGGGAGTATTATCTGTTACATAAGGTCAAGTTGTTGTACAGTTGTAGGGAGTATTATCTGTTACATAAGAGTGAGTTGTTGTACAGTTGTAGGGAGTATTATCTGTTACATAGGGGTGAGTTGTTGTACAGTTGTAGGGAGTATTATCTGTTACATAATAGTGAGTTGTATAGTTGTAGGGAGTATTATCTGTTACATAAGGGTGAGTTGTTGTGCAGTTGTAGGGAGTATTATCTGTTACATAAGGGTGAGTTGTTGTACAGTTGTAGGGAGTATTATCTGTTACATAATAGTGAGTTGTATAGTTGTAGGGAGTATTATCTGTTACATAGGGGTGAGTTGTTGTACAGTTGTAGGGAGTATTATCTGTTACATAGGGGTGAGTTGTTGTACAGTTGTAGGGAGTATTATCTGTTACATAATAGTGAGTTGTATAGTTGTAGGGAGTATTATCTGTTACATAAGGGCGAGTTGTTGTGCAGTTGTAGGGAGTATTATCTGTTACATAAGGGTGAGTTGTTGTACAGTTGTAGGGAGTATTATGTGTTACATGAGGGTGAGTTGTTGTACAGTTGTAGGGAGTATTATCTGTTACATAATAGTGAGTTGTATAGTTGTAGGGAGTATTATCTGTTACATAATAATGAGTTGTATAGTTGTAGGGAGTATTATCTGTTACATAATAGTGAGTTGTTGTACAGTTGTAGGGAGTATTATCTGTTACATGAGGGTGAGTTGTTGTACAGTTGTAGGGAGTATTATCTGTTACATGAGGGTGAGTTGTTGTACAGTTGTAGGGAGTATTATCTGTTACATAATAGTGAGTTGTATAGTTGTAGGGAGTATTATCTGTTACATAATAGTGAGTGGTATAGTTGTAGGGAGTATTATCTGTTACATGGGGGTGAGTTGTTGTACAGTTGTAGGGAGTATTATCTGTTACATAATAGTGAGTTGTATAGTTGTAGGGAGTATTATCTGTTACATGGGGGTGAGTTGTTGTACAGTTGTAGGGAATATTATCTGTTACATGAGGGTGAGTTGTTGTACAGTTGTAGGGAGTATTATCTGTTACATGAGGGTGAGTTGTTGTACAGTTGTAGGGAGTATTATCTGTTACATAATAGTGAGTTGTATAGTTGTAGGGAGTATTATCTGTTACATAATAGTGAGTGGTATAGTTGTAGGGAGTATTATCTGTTACATGGGGGTGAGTTGTTGTACAGTTGTAGGGAGTATTATCTGTTACATGAGGGTGAGTTGTTGTACAGTTGTAGGGAGTATTATCTGCAGCCTATAATACGGTAACATAGATGTCACTGAAGCAGAAGTTCTCAAAGTAGACGTCAGGGGTCAGGACCTCTCTGGGGGTCAAAGGGCACATACCTACATAAGGGTGAGTTGTTGTACAGTTGTAGGGAGTATTATCAGTTACATAAGGGTGATTGAGTTGCACAGTAGGAAGGAGTATTATCTCTTACATAAGGATGAGTTGTACAGTTGTAGGGAGTATTATGTGTTACGTAAGGTCGAGTTGTACAGTTGTAGGGAATATTATCTGCAGCCTGTAATACAGTAACATAGACGTCACTGAAGCAGAAGTCCTCAAAGTGGAGGTCAAGGGTCAGGACTTCGCTGGGGGTCAAAGGCCACTAAGCTGAGTGATTTTATGAGCACACAGAACTGGACTGAAATAACAATAAGTATGACCACATTACATATTTTACTGCTAGAAACGATTATTATAATTGACAGGGAATTAATAAAACATGATAACATCAGCTGCAAATTATCAATAGTATCAACATTTCTCTAGGGTGTGATGCCAACTGTAGGTACTGATTTAACTGAGGCTTGTTAGACTTTAATCTGAGCTTTATTTTAACAACCTGACCAGAAAAAACTGCCTTAGTTGGAACTCACTGAAGAGAAAACATGTACATATGGAAAAACAGTCTCATGGATGATTGTGTTTTCAACCAGGCATCTGAACTTTTGCTGAAGGGGATCAATAAAGTATTTCTCTGTCTTATATTGACACACAGAAGCAGATTCTGTTTCTCCAGTTCTTATGACAGTGGACAATGCTCCCCTGTTGTTGTCTATAATTGCATTAATCCTCCACAGACAGTTTGCTCGATAGCTGTTTCCTGTGTTTGTGAGTGGGCGGGCCTAAATGACAGATAAACTATGCTTGAGTGTCTGTGAAAGGAAAATATGTGCAAAGGGAGAGAGTGACGTCAGACCTATTCAACGCTCTTTTAAAATACAATGGACAATACAGTGCAGGCTGCTGTCTCAAAGGAGGGTCATCAGGAGACTTTGAGGACACCATGTTTTTCTCAAATTATCCTCAAGTAAAACTCAGATGAATAAGTAGTACAAGACAGATGTAGACTATTATAGTTTTAACTTCACACACATTCACAAATACTTGGTCTGTGGTGGATAAACAAAAAAGTACAAAGTTAAATAACTGCTCAAGAAAACACAACAGGTCCAAATATGCACTGGTGGAAAGAGTTTGAACATGTGCACTTTTGTAAAAGTACAGTGTTGCTGCCAAAATTGGAAAAAGTATGCATGAAAAATACTAGCCTGGTTCATCAGCCGGTTTTACTTCATGGAAACCATCTGACCTCGCAGCATTAGAATTTGTTCGCTCGATGGTAGGTGGGTGCTTTTTTTATTTAACCAGTCGCTGCTATTTGGTCGTCACGTATGTAATGTGCCACTAACGGAGCTAAGTGGTATATTAAGCTTTTCCCAAATCCCGTAGGAAGAAGGGCAATAACGTCTTTCCCCTTGATAAAATTCACCAAACATTGTATTTGTTCCGGCTTTAAATACTCAATCTCGGGAATCGTTGCCAACACAGAATGTATGGCTCTTCTCTGATTGACTGGTGCCTGAACTCGCACTTTCGGGGTTTTTGCAAACCATCAAGTGTATTCTATTCCTGACCTAGTTGCTGGATAGATATAAAACTTAGTGGAGGCACTAGGTGGCGCCAGCCTGGCTAAATAAAACTTGATCAGTTAGCTGTGCATTTTGACAATTGGGACATACAAGGAAATTCTCAGTAACTTAATCACTTGAAATTAGGTAAATCCAATTACGTGACTACAAACTACTTCATGCCCCATTGCGTAACATTTCAGCCAATTAATAAAAGCACTGAGGTAATTATGGGTGTCCGTCACCAGGTAAAGTTACAGGTCAGGTTTCTGGAGAGGTAAGCCCACAATCGAAAAGCGCATTTATTTTCCAAGTTTTTTTTCACCAATAAAAACATCCCTAATTATTTATTATTTATGTGTATATTTATTTTGGGCAAGTAAGAAATTTGCATTCTTTTACAATGGAACATATAACATTAGTGAAATCATAGCAGAAATAACAGGGAAAAAAATTGTCCAAAAAGGAGTGGGAAGAAGAAAAATAAATAAATTATATAAATTCTTTCATTTTAGTCTATGAATCTAAAATGTTACACAGTTGGAATTTAAGATGTAGCAATTCTGGAGTTATCATTATCGTTATTCTAATGAATCATGGAATTTGTTCCCATATTTCATCTAATTCTGTGTATGAATCCCAGCCCAAATTGCTCCCTTTTTTCGCTAAACAATTTTTTTTATTTTGCAAGATTTTGTGTTTCCATTCATTCTCCTCTTCTTTTTTCTCAATGGAACAGACTGGAGCTCTGTGTGTTGTCAATGGCTGCAATCTTGTTTACTTGATCACATTACTGATTTTTTTTCTGAACCACAAATTGTATTCTGCTTCATTCATTCACATCACCATTAGCTGTGGACTTCACCGGCCTTGGCGAGGGCAGGGGCTGCATCTTTAGATTAAAAATGTGGTTGCCATGGAGACGACTTGATAATCCTCCCTCTCTCTCTCTCCTGTTTCTCTCTCCTGTTTCTCTCTCTCTTTCTATTCCTCTTCATAGGAACGAGTGGCAGCCTCCAGACAAAAAGGTAGACACCAGGAAGTACCGCGCCGAGCCGAAAAGCATCTTCGACTACGAACCGGGCAAATCCTCTGTTTTGAAACTGGAGAGAACGGTATGCTCACATCTGCTTTTGCTACCCATTTATTTACGTTACATTTGTGCATGACATGTTAGCCGCGTGCTAGCCACCTTGTCACCCATGCACCTTACGCCACACACACCCACCCGCTCCTCAGTCATCTCGGACAGCGTACAGGGCGACGTATGTGCAGCTAAATTGCCACATTCCTGGAAGGTGTCCCATTGCGGTGACAGATGATCTCGCCTAAAGGGGGGTAAACCAGCCAATATCGCTTTCAGGCACCGCCATTGTCTTTGCCCATTTTCACTTTAAGGTTATTGGACTAGATCGGATCACATGTACAATACAATACAGGGCGGCTTAGTGAAATGCTTTCTCTTCGTGTGCAGTTAAAAAGTGGTTAAGATTCTGTGGCTGGTCCCAGAAGGAAGCCTGCAGTCTCCACCTATGGGGAATTTGTCATATTGATATTCTAGAAAATGCGGTGTTATTATAAAGCCTTTCAGTTGTCCTGTATATCAATATATGTAATCAAACAGGAACATTTTGCACTATTCTTGGTCAAATTGTGTATTTTAATTTGTCCATTTATGTTGATTTGATTAGACTTAGACTTAGACAAACTTTATTGATCCAAAAAGGAAATTAATTGGACACAGCAGCTCACACATCACAATAAATATAATAACAAAGAGCAAAAATATAAATTGGTGGTAATAATAAATTCTAAATAAGTAGCAAAAAAGACAGCAATAGACAGGTGTCAAAAAAGATATGATTGATTGTATATAATGTATATGTACAAGTCAAAATAAAATAGAAAAAAAAGTAGTAAAATATAAAATCACAGCTTTATACAAGAGGTTATATCAGGGGTGGGCAAACTTTTTGACTCATGGGCCACAAATTGTTCTAAAATTTGACCCAAGGGCCGTACCAAGAGCAGATGGATTGAGTTTTTTTGGTAATCCACCTCATAAGAGAACAAAATAACATGGGTTATGTAGAAAACATCCCATGTTATTGAAATATCCCATAACTGAAAATCATTAAATTAAAAAGATTAAAGGGCAGTAGTTTGCCCACCCCTGGGTTATAGGATGGTGCACAACTTTTCCAGTGAGGGGCACGCAATCTGCTGTCTCCATGGTTTTGCTTGGCCTGTATGTTCTACAATATAGCATTGAACAGATCTATTTTGAGTATACAGGTGGTGTATTGCTCAAAAATACTTTAAAAAAACAAGCATTTATATTGGCCTCTTCTCTGATCTGACCCGTAACTTGGGTTGCCGGCTATTGTCTCCATTGAGATAAATTAATAATAATGCATTAGTGTTATGTAGCGTTTTTCCAGTCACTTTACAATTTTGTGCATTATTCATTCACTCCAAAAGCTACTATGGTAACCACAGCTACCCTGGGGCAGACAGCCGGAAGCAAGGCTGTCAGTCTGCTCCATCAGCTGCTCCGAAAACTACTCACGCACACACAACTTTCATACTAGGCAATGTGGGTAAAGTGTCTTGCCTAAGGACACAACAGCAGTTTTGCCATTGGATGAAAATTAAATGTCATATTGTGGAACATCCCAGCCAAAGCAATAACATCTCCATAGAGACGAGGGTGAGAAATTATCCACCAGGAAAATCACATTGTGCACCTTTAATGTTTATTTATTCAGAAAATTCAGTTTAATTGCCAGCCCTCATGCCCAGGAGTTCATTTGGCCGTCGCACAGTAGCTCAGTGCAGTAATTAAAGCCTCATTATGTAATGTTTCTGACGCACACGGAGCTGTAGATTGTGTTAGTCCAGATCTGGCTTGGTCCCATCATTTGTTAAAAGGAAGTCTGTCTCAGTTCATCCCAGGATCACAGTCTATCAGGGGCCAGTTTATTTCCATTAAGAACTCATTTACTCTGGGTCACTGGGCTATTATAATTCTCTATATAGACCTGTCAAAATACATTCCAACCACTATATACTGCTGCAGAAAATATCAGGATAAATGAGCATTTTGAAAGTACTTTGAGACACTAAATCAATAAGCCTAAAGAAGGATGATCCCTCTAAACAGTTTTTAAATGTACAATATTTTTATACAGTAGGATGAAACACAGTTAGTATCTAGTATTGAACCAGATAAATTCTGTTTTTGTGTTTTACCCTCTACCTTCAAATCTTATTGTATTCCCCACTCATACAAAGCAAAGGTTTAAACTATAAATACTGAGCTTCAAAAATATGTTTCTAACTCTTGCTTAGAATAAGTAAATAAGTCACAATTTTGATCATTTTTGACTTTCAATTCATCAAATTTTTCTGTAATTATTTGATTGCCATGAAAAATGACCAACTTAACATTTATGCTTCAGTTTTGATGTTTTACGATTGTATTGAAACTGAGACATGAGTTTATTTAAAGTTAACATTTAAAGAGGAATATGGCAATTGGTGCAGATTTCTGAAATTGGTCCATGTAAAGTTTAGAGCTTCTGTGACCTTTTGAGCTGAAGGCCAAATGAATGTAAAATCTATGAAACACTTGTCAGGGTTAGGCCTCTGACTCAAGAGGCTTCTGTCTGACATCTGCTTCTGCTCCATTTGCATTTATCAATAGGTCAATATTCCAATACTCTGTGCTGGAGCAAATTACACACGGTTTCTTTATTATTCAGATCTCTAGAAGTATGGCACCGAAGCACATCTAATCTCCATACTGATATGTATTGGGGACAAGCAAAACTAATTTGGCAACTTGTACTTTGATACACTTTACGCTATTTAAACAAAACATTTGAACATATTGTTCTTTACTTCCTGTACACTGGTCTATTGTTACAATCTTTGCAGTATTTCAACCAAACACACCCATTTCCAGTAAATCAAAACATGACTCAGAATTCCTTTTAGTTAGGCCTATTTTCACTTTGTTTTCTTGATGAACAATTGGATGCACTATTTGTCCAGGGGTGTGTTTACTTTGACTTGGTTTGGTCCTGGTTTGAGCCAATTTCTAATCTTGGATTTAGTCTTTTTTTAGTTCCTAGTTTAGTCCCATTTTAATTTTGAAGTTATAGGGGCTGATTGTATAGATTTGTAGCTGTTTTAAATTTCCACTTGTAGTTATTTTTTATTTACATCCATGAGCACGTACTTATAATCCCTCCATCCATCGTCCATGTATTCATGTTCCAGTCATATACTGTGGCTCGTGTGATTCGTATAAACTCATTTCACATCATTCATGAACTTGATAATGCTCTTGTCTTTTCTGTATCATACATTTGCTCCTGTTGCTGTCCTCCTGTTTCCATTATGACTGTTCTCATATTGTTCTCATCTGTGTGAATCCTCTCTCTCTCCCTCTGTGTGTCCGTCCGTCTCTCTCTCCCTCTCTCTCTCTCTCTCTCAATCTCTCTCTCTTTCCTCTGTCTATTTCTCTCTCTCTCTTTCTCTCTATTTTCCTCCCTCTGTCCTCTGTCTGTTTCTCTCTCTCTTTCGTTTGTCTCTCTCGTCTGTCTGTCTCTTGTCTGTCTCTTTCTCTCTCCTCTTCTCTTATGTTTCTCGCTTTCTCTGTTGCTATTCCTCTGTCTCTCCCTATCCCCCCTCTGTCTTCTCTTTCTTCTCTCTCTCTCTCTCTCTGTTTTTTTTATCTCTCTCGTCTGTCTCTATCTTCTCTCGCTCTCTCTCTCGCTCTTTCTCTGTCCTCTCTGTGTCTCTCCACTGGCTCTCTCTCTCTCTCTGTCTCTGTCTCTCTCTCTCTCTCTCTCTCTCTCTCTCTCTCTCTCTCTCTCTCTCTCTCTCTACTCTCTCTCTCTGTTTTCCTTGGTCTCTCGCGTCTGTCTCTATCTTCTCTCTCTGTCTGTCTGTTTGTCTCTCTCTCCTCTTTCTCCTTCCTCTCCTCTTCTGTCTCTTTCTTTCTCTGTTTCTATTCCTCGGTCTCTCCCTACCTCTCTCTCTGTGTCTGTCTCTCTCTATTTTCCTTGATCTCTCTTGTCTGTCTCTATCTTCTCTCTCTCCCCACCTGTTTGTTTCGCTCTCTCTCCCTCCTCTCCTTTCCTCTTCTGTCTCTCTCTTTCTCTGTCTCTATTCCTATCTCTCTCCCTACCTCTCTCTATCTCTCCTCCTCTCTGTCTGTTTCTCTCTCTCCTCTGTTTCTCCCCCTCCCTCTCTCCCCCTCTCCCTCTCTCCTCCTCTGTGCCATGCCTCTGTAGACTCAGGATGTAAGCCCAGACGTCATAGATTTAGAGAATGAGCCGTGGTATAAGTTCTTTTCTGAAATGGACTTTGACAAAGCGGTAAGTGTCTGCACAGGGACCCTCGTGTACTGCATGTGTAACGTTCATGTCACTCCCAACAACCCGTGTCTGTGTACTGTAGGCTGTCATGTATGTTCCTTTTAACCTGGCTGCTACATCATGCACACTATGTACAAATTATCTGTATTATAGTTTTATTAATATGAAGTAGAAATATTGAAGTCGAGGCTGATCATAACCCACATTTTAAGTGCCATATTTCAATGAATGCATGTTATAATGTGTTATGGCGTGTGAATAAATATTAAATCTAATATAATTTCTGTCATAGTGTGCATTGTATTAAGCTGTACAAGTTATGCACTGCAAAAAACTAAATATAGACAAGTTAAGATGACTTGAATTAAGAAAGTTTTATCATGATTTGAGTAAATTTCACTTGACAAGTAAAATTATGTGCAAGTGGAGCAAGGCTTTTTGTCCTTAAAATATGAAAATGCATCTTGCTACACAACAACAACTTTTGTACTTCAATATCTACAAATCTACAAAATCAAATGTTGCTTGAATTAAGAAAAACACATTTGCTCCTTTGGTAGATCATTTTACTTGCCAAGTTGAATAGACTCAAATGAAGTTAAATTTTCTTAATTTAAGTCATTTTAATTTACCTAAATATTGTTTTTTTTTTTCCAGTGTGACAATTGAGTGAAAAACACAGACATCTTTCCCATTCACAAATGCACAAAATTCAAACTGCTCTCCATAGACTGTATAAAAAACTGGACTAAGGTAATGTGACGTCACCCATAGTGTTCAGCTCCAGTCAAATAAAACTCACTGATTCTAGCAGTTAGTCCACAGTAGAAATAGGTATTTATTTACAGGTACGTACAAAATAGTGAAATAAAACACCAGGATCATGTAGAACGGGTTAATACGAACATTTTAAGAGGGGCGACAGAACGCAGTAACATCATGTCTTGTCAAAAATGAGTTAATGTCATTTTGGGGGTATTTCAGACCTCCTTTATCATGTGAATAAATATTGTGAAAAATTCTGAGCTCAGAATTGACCTTTAATCCTTATTTGTCAGTTCCTGTACTCTGCCTTTGTATCATGAGTCGTACAAAGACAAAAGGCAGTAACAGTGTATGTTTTGTTTGTGATCTAGTTAAAAAATATATTTTATTTTAAAATCCAACCTCTCACCTCATTCTTTTTGTTGCGGCCTTAGCACAGGGTCTTAACACATAAAATAAATATACCTTTGTATTCAATTATTCTTAAATTATCTTTAATGTGAAAGTATTTTGTGTATTTATTCATACTGTACATAAGATCATACCTGATACCTGATCAGCATTAAATAGGAAATCCAAAGGTCTTCTATATCATTTCAAACAAACACCATGATGACTCAACCTTGGTGAGGTTCTTATAATGGATGGAAGTCTTAGGAAAATCAAGCAAATAATGATCATATTAGTTCCTGCCTTTGCTTTTGCACGACTCCTTATTTTTGGCTCATGATACAAAGGCAGAGTACAGGAACTGACAAATAAGAGTCAAAGGTCAATTTTGAGCTCAGTATTTTTTGTATACAAATATTTCTTCATTATAGCAACTAGTTGTCAAATTTTGGGAGCCTTGCTTATTTAACTTTTGTCTGAACAAAACAGAAAGTCATTTTTCTCAGTTGCACACTCTGGCAAGTTAAGATCTTTTGCCTTTGTAGGGCAAAATTGGAAACAATCGATGGAGCTGGAAGTGCCCCTGTGAACACTTCCTATTTCGAACATGGCAGCCAGTGGGTTTTCTATGTCCACTTACATATACAGTCTATGTCTCCACCTAAATATTAAACGATGGGCAGTTCTGAATGTTACAATGTCACTTGAACCCGACCTATAATGACTTCCCTTTTCCCCATGCTGAATAATGCACATGAGCCTTCACATAAGCTGTCTGTAGCTGCTTGCATAAGAGAACGATGACTGACACTCACTTGGCCCATTAACAAGTACAAGGTTAATGAAAGCTATTTTTACCCTTAACTCCACAGAAGCTTTTCACATCATCTTTATATGCAAATGAAGAGACAGGTGCCTCCATAAATTGTGTACTTATGTAGTGACCTGACATTGCATTACATTTTACAAGAGGGACTATTTGTTTTGGTTTATAGTGTATCTTATGTGTCACTTTTACAACTGCATAGTCATCCAGGTTGGACACAGTGCTCTGAAATAGCTTATACAGCAGGAGAAGTCTAGACAACATTTTATTGGTGGTTTCAGATTACTCATCATAAGACTGCAGGGACATGGCCCGGCAGATTTGCTGTTGCTCATTTGTGTTAATATTGTGAAGTAAATAAACAGAAAGATGTTGAAATTTGTTACTAAAATCATTTGGTTCATCACAAAATCTGATGTGAGTAATCAGTGAGACCATGATCTGAAAGTAATTACATGATTTTGCTGTTTACATATCTTCCAACCAAAACAAAATCGAATATCGATCAGATTTAGAGTGTGCATGTAACCACGGTCATTAATGGATTTTCATTTTGGATATTTATTGTGAAAATACCATATAATTTATCAGAGATTAGTGGGTATGAGACATCAATGAATCAAATACAAACACTTGTGGTTTTGAAAGTCAAATCGGCATTCTTTTACTTTTTACCATTTTAAGCATGACTGAGGATAAACTGCTGTTAAACATCATGAAAAATGCAATGTAGCATTTCTGGCGCAGGATCGGCTCTCTGCTCGTCTTCATGGAGATTATTGCTCCGCGTGGAATGTTCTACAAAATACTGCACAACTTTTCCATGTAGTATTTAATATTGCTCAAAATAGTACAAAAAATAGTCCAAAATAGCATTTCCACATATCTGACCTGTAACTTGATTTGCATTAAATATGTTTAATAACATTGTCTTACAGAGAATGTATATAATGTTTCTTTAACATATAGACATGCATTACAGACCAGTTGCAGTTCATTAAAGGTGCACTATGTTCGGTACTTTTCAGATTGTAAGATGCACAGGATTAAAAGGAGCAATATCAATAATGTTGAATTCTCTCATCTGTTTTCATTCATAAGGTGCATTAAGTGAAACGGACGACACTCGAGACTGATCCCTTAGACCCAGGCATCCACGATCCATTGGCAGATCGTGGCATAATTCGCCCGGCATTGCCTCCCTGTCTCGATGAATGTGTATTATGAATGTGAATGTGGGTGGATTGTTTAAGTTTGAATTTTTTATTTCCTATGAGGAGAACTCAAATATATTTTGAGTAATAATGTGTTTAATGCAGTTTTGCACAAATTTGTTGACGTTTCACAGAAACTGAACTTAAAACCACATGGCTAATTTGGATAAACTATAAAAGCTGAAAAAACCCACTCTTTGTGTGCTGATGCAGTCAGTTTCTGTCGGACTAACTCCGCAGGGCTCCTGACTACAGTAGCTGTAATGCTCTGACAATCCATCAAGCGGTGCAGCTTCGTTTACCAAAGTTGTACTAAAACATTTTTGACAGCTCCGTGTACCACATAAAATCAGTTCAAGATCAGTAAGCACAATCAGAATTAATACATAAGGTGCACTGGATTATAAGGCACTGTAGATTTTTGAGAAAATTAAAGGATTTTAAGTCTGCCTTATAATGCAAAAAATACGGTAGTCATGGTAATGCCACGAGTCCAAGCTGTGGGTTAGCTCTATGGAGCTGCTGAGCTGCTCACTGTAAGAATGTGTTTCATGGTATTTATGGGCACTAAAAACACATGCTCACAAATAAATAAACACTGCAAAGATATGTTTAATGCAGTACTGTAGAACCTTCCAGGCAAAGCACTAGCATTTCTATGGAGACGAGCAGGTTGCAGGACACCCATCAGAAAAGTTGCCTAATTAAAATTTTACATCTTATATCTAATTGGACTTCATGCAATTTGTAAGCGTTCATAAAACAATTATTTAAAATTGTTTACAAGAAAAATGTCAGAAAATTTGACTACAAGAATCCACCATCCCCATGCACTGCTGAGTTCCACTGCTTTTACATTTAAGGAAGCCCATTATATTTTTGCTTTCAAGTGTTTGCCCACTTACATCAGCTCCACTTTAGTTTACTGGTCATTCTCAGTGCATGAGTCGTGTGACGCTTCAATCATCACTTATTATTCAGGAGGCCCAGGTCCAAGAACACATCCGACTTTTAAATAACCAGTCTGTTTTCTATCACGTGTGTTTGGGACAGGCTCTAAACAGACACAGACACAGACAGAGGGCTCGCTTTTATTTCAATCCATCTTTCGTCTTTTTAAATCACACCAGATGAATGTTGCAGTAGAGTTTACAGTCTGTCTTTACCGCAGAATGAGCCTCAATCCTGAAGGTGGCGCCGTCATGAGATAATGTCCCAGCCAAAATACACCAGGCAGTCGGTGCATGTAGTTTGTGAATGTTACTATGGAGCAGGGCTGCAACAATTAATCAGAATAATCATGAATAATCTTTGACGATGCAGACACTAAAACGCATGCCAAATGATATTTTATCACAAAAACTGCAGCAATTTTAAAACAAAATTACTCCGATGGCCAAAAATGGGGCTAAACTTGGACTGTAACATGTCTACTCCAGAACTAAACCAGAACTTGGGTGCATTCACACTTCATGGTCTTAGTCCTGATGTAGACTTGGTCCTGTTATAGTTCTGGTTTAGTTCAGTTTAGTGCCAGGTTTGATGTAGTGTTAATGCATCTTAAAAAAAAAAAAAAAGTCTGAATCAATGTTCTGGGTTAAACTAAGGTAGAAAAAGGTCAAGAACTAAACCTTAGGAGACACATACTAGAATTATTTATATAAATGTATTATATAAATTAAGCTGCAGGCACCATTTATCCTGCATCTTAAAACAATCAAATGCATCAAATACTTTTTCCATTGGCAGAAAGTTATGGAAAAGTCAGATTAAAAAAACTTATTGTATATTTTGAAAATGTTAGT